TTACCTTAAATACTCTGAAGAATATAAATGGTTTCTCCTGTTGAATTAGCGCTTGAAAGGTCGAAGTTAATTTGCAACATAACTCTAGCAAACAAGAAGAACCTATCTCATTAGTTTGGTCTATTGATCTTCCACCTAGATTCAACTACCTTCACCCTGATTTTGTTTACTTTTTGTGGTGGTTCTTTAAAAGACGAAATGTCTGAGATTCTCTTAACGATGAGACAGCTTATGAGAAAATAAATAAACTGTGATGAGAGAAGTCTGTTCAAGGTTTTATTTTATGAGAGCCAAGGGGAGGAGCATAATGCGGGTTGGGACTGCTGCCAGGAGGGGTTAGGGAAGGAGTTAGAGCACAGATGGGAAAAGCATCATGATAATAATGACAATAACAGCCGCAGCACTTACTTATAATAGTAACAGAGAATAATTAGATATTGAAAATTAAGAATAGCTAGACCTTACATTTGTGGTATCCTCTCTGTGTTTCTGTGCTTTGCAGACATTTCTCTTACCTTCATGGCAACCTCCAGAAGCAGATATCAATATCCGCTTTTTACAGATGAGGATATTGGTGCTTAGAGAGTTTAGTAATTCGCCCAGGATGCCACCTGAAACCCAGGCTGTCTTGCCTCAAGCAGTGCACTGTTGATATACTGAAGCTCATGAAAAGATACGAGGTTTAATAGGGTGTTAGTGGGTCCAAGTATGTCCAAAAGGAAGGGGGTGTGTGGTGAAGCAGCCAGAAGTGAAGCTACAGAGATAAGTAAGGACAAAGGCAGGGGTATTACTTTAGGTAATAGGAAGATTTGAAAGGGTTTTAATAAGGGAGTTACATGAAAAAGGAGAAGGGGAAGAGTGGCTTCAAACTCTGATCCTTCTGAAACAGGGCTGTCAGAGTAGGGGCCGTAACTGACCACACGCCACAGATCGTGGTGGCTCCTTGGTGCCCAGGAGCATTACAGTTGTCTCCTTCCAGTGGAAAATAACTTTAGGTAAGGCAGATTACTTTGAATCCCATACAGGTGAGTTCTGTTACCAAAAAATCATACAAGCATACACCGCCCCGCATCCCCTGGTCCCTCAGTAGCACCATTGCTGCAGTGAGAGGCTGTGTTAGATAGTGGGCCTGATGCTTTTAACCACCCCCTCCAATACAGCCTTTCCTATGGACTTAAAACGATGGCAGTAATGGTGATGAGAAGATGATGATGGCAGTAGCCCGGGTCATAACAGCTGCTGCTGGTTAGTGAGCATGTCTGTGCTTGGAACCCTGCACCAACTCTTATTATTTCATTGAATCCTCATAGGCACACTGGGAGGAAGACAGTATTATGCCCATATCACAGATGAAGACACTAAGGTTCAGGTTAATTACTCTCCCAAGGTCACAGCACTAATCAGTGGTAGGGCGGGATTTTGAATCTGGGACTAACTGACTCCAGGCCCTGTGGGCCTCCCAGAGGGAGCAGTCAGACACTGCAGTCATCTTACCATGGCTCTGACAGCGCATTTCTGTCTCACCAGGAATTCTCTGATTGATAGTAACAGAAAATTGGTTGTTGAGACTTTGCTTCTTTTACCTCCTTTCCTTTCTGATATGCACTTTTAGAGGACGTAATGAGAGGACCGTAATGGGGGTGGGATGCACATTAAATGTGTGTGCTGGTGACAGTGTGAGCTCATACCCTGAAAAGGGAAGGTGTATAAATAAGAGATGCATTTTAGAAATAGACAAAGGAAAACCCCAGCCTTTCCACTTACTAAATGTGATTGCAAGCCAGTCATTCAACCTCCTGTGGGTCAGGCATCACCTTTAAAGCAGCAATGATTAGAATTCAAGACTTTGCTGTAAGGCTTATATGAGAAAATTCATATGCAGCAACTAACACAGGGTAAAGTTTGCAGAACTGTTCATTCCTCTTCCAACCCCTCTCTGTTCTTCATGCTTTCACACCATAGTCCTACTGCTATTAGTACAGAGAACCAAAGATAAACGTATAGGTCATCCCTGTCATGGGGCACTCCTATCCAGAGAGAGCTACATGGCACTGCCACCAGACAGAGCTGTTGCTTCCAATGTCTAAGGAAGTCAACTTGCATATAAGAATTCATTGTCCTAGAAGAAGACTATAAAGAACCCTTACAATCTATACACATAAACAGAATCAGAAATGAGAGAGGAAAAATCACTATGGACACCACAGAAATACAAATCATGAGAGAATACTATGAAAAATTATATGCTAACAAACTGGATAACCAAGAAGAAATGGACAACTTTCTAGAAAAATACAACCTTCCAAGGCTGACCCAGGAAGAAACAGAGTATCTGAATAGACAAATTACCAGCAACGAAATTGAATTGGTAATCAAAAAACTACCTAAGAACAAAACTGGACGAGATGGTTTCACTGCTGAATTTTATGAAGCATTTAGTAAAGACCTAATACCCTTCCTCCTTAAAGTTCTCCAAAAAGTAGAAGAAAAAGGAATACTCCCAAACTCATTCTATGAGGCCAGCATCACTCTAATACCAAAATGAGGCAAAGACACCACAAAAAAAAGAAAATTACAGACCAATATCCCTGATGAACACAGATGCAAAAATACTCAACAAAATATTAGCAAACCGAATTCAAAAATACATCAAAAAGACCATCCATCATGATCAAGTAGGATCTACTCCAGGGACACAAGGATGGTACAACACTCAAAAATCTACCAACATCATCCACCACATAAACAAAAAGAAGTACAAAAACCACATGATTATCTCCACAGAAGCTGAAAAAGCATTCAATAAAATTCAACATCCATTCATGATAAAAACTCTCAACAAAATGGGTATAGAGGGCAAGTACCTCAACATATTAAAGACCATATATGACAAAACCATAGCTAACATCATACTTAACAGTGAGAAGCTGAAAGCTTTTCCTTTAAGATTGGGAACAAGACAAGGATACCCACTCTCCCCACTTCTTTTCAATATAGTTCTGGAGGTCCTAGCCACAGCAATCAGACAACACAAATAAATAAAGGGCATCCAGATTGACAAAGAAGTTAAACTGTCCCTGTTTGCAGATGACATGATAATGTACATAAAAAACCCTAAAGAATCCACTCCAAAACTACTAGATCTAATATCTGAATTCAGCAAAGTTGCAGGATCTAAAATTAATACACAAGAAAACAATATCAAAAATGAACAAGTAGGACTACATCATGCTAAAAAGCTTCTGTACAGCAAAGACACTATCAGCAGAACAAAAAGGCATCCTACAGTATCGGAGAATATACTTGTAAATGACATATCTGACAAGGGGTTAACATCCAAAATATATAAAGAACTCACATGCCTCAACATCCAAAAAGCAAATAACCCTATTGAAAAATGGGTGGAGGATATGAAGAGACAATTCTCCAAAGAAGAAATTCAGATAGCCAACAGGCACATGAAAAGATGCTACACATCACTAATTATCAGGGAAATGAAAATTAAAACCACAATGAGATATCACCTCACACCAGTTAGGATGGCCAACATAGAAAAGACTAGGAATAACAAATGCTGGCAAGGATGCAGAGAAAGGGAAATCCTCCTACACTGCTGGTGGGAATGTAAAGTAGTTCAACCATTGTCGAAAGCAATATGGAGGTTCCTAAAAAAAACTAAAAATAGAAATACCATTTGACCCAAAGAAAACAAAATTCTCAGATTCAAAAAGACAACATGCACCCCTATGTTTATCACAGCAGTATTTACAATAGCCAAGATATGGAAGCAACGTAAGTGTCCATCAGTAGAGGAATGGATAAAGAAGATGTGGTATATATACACAATGGGATACTATTCAGCCATTAGAAAGAAACAAATCCTACCATTTGCAACAACATGGGTAGAGCTAGAGGGTATTATGCTCAGTGTAATAAATCAGGCAGAGAAAGACAAATATCAAATCATTTCCCACATTTGTGGAGTATAACAACGAAGCAAAACTTAAGGAACAAAACAGCAGTGGACTCACAGACTCCATGAAGGGACTAGTGGTTACCAAAGGGGAGGGAAGGGGGAGGTTGGGCCAGGAGGGAGGAAGAAGGGGATTGTGGGGTATCATGATTGGTACACATTGTGTGTGTGGGGTCATGGGGAAGACAGTGTAGCTCAGAGAAGATAAATAGGGACTCTGTGGTATCTTACTACACTGATGGACAGTGACTGCAATGGGGTATGGGTGGAGACTTAATATTACGGGTGAATGTAGTGACCACGTTGTTTTTCTTGTGAAACCTTCATTAAGAGTGTATATCAATGATACTTTAATTTAAAAAATTGTTTTAAGATAAATAAAAAGGAATCCTTATAATAAAACCCCTCAGTTGAGCTGATCCACAGTTGCTTCAAGCCACTCTGTCTGATAACTTTGAGTTTATCATCTCATCTTATTTTGTGGATTATGAACACTTTTGATTGCTGTCAGCATTAGCAGTCCTACAGGTATTCTACAGTTCCCATAAACATCCTTGGGAATCCTTCCTCCTGTGTCCCAGCCCTTGCATCCAGATCTGTCTCACTCCAAAAAGTATAGCCTCCCATCACTGTAAGAGTAAAGTAATCAATGAGTTCAACTTACACTTACCTTGTTGGATATGGGAACTTTGCAAAGCGTAGATGATGTTCTTTTCTTCACCATTCAGTATACATTTCATTTGTTGATCATTCATTTTAATGCAGCAAACTCATCTGAAACTAACACAGTGAACCAGAAAGCCAGTGTACATTCTAGTCATTTTAACTTAAATACAATAACATGTGACAGAGCCATTGAGAACTCTGCCCTGGTCACAGAAATGTCTATTGTGCACAGGCCAGTCCCAGCAGAGACCTGACCTCACACAAGGTGTCTCTCAACCACCTGCTCTCTGTAGAGCTATGCAGATGTTCTCTTAAATGGCATTGCCCCATGGTTATCCTAACTTGAAATCTTATTTTTCAGCCACATAAATAGAAGAACACAGTTTGAAAACCCTGTCCTGGAAGCAAAGAGGAAGCTACAACAGCATAACATGCCCCACACAGAACTTGGAACAAAGCCCCTGCAGGCCCCAGGTTTCCGAGGTGAGAACTACTTCAGCATGTGCTTCAAAGGGAAAACCTGTCTATCAAGCTGCCCACCCTTCCAAACATGCTTTACTGTGGACTGTTTCAAATCATTGATTTGCTTTCCCTGAAACCCTCTATTAGCTGTAGCTGTGTTTACCCTGTTCCTAAGCAAAGGCATTTAGCAACGATGGATTAAGATAAAGCCCTGGGGCAATATGTTATAAAAATGTATACATGTTGCCAGGTGGAGATGATTGGGTTTTGACAGTGGTACCATAAACTGCAGAGATTTTAGAGATTCGTAAGTTTGTCCTTAAAAACCCAAGCACAAGAGTGAGGATTGTTATCCTTTGTGGCAGTAGACAGCTCATCATTGACATTACCTAGGCGCAGACCCGCCTGCGCCCGCGCTGTCCCAGGGAGGTCGCACAGCGTGAGTGACTTGTCTTGCTGTCGGCGCACCTGCACCCGGAGGCCCTGGCCTTTCGGTATGTCCGGGGCTGCCTGCTGCGCCTGACCCACACCCTTGAGCCATGTAGGGAGAGGAGTTGCTGCACAAACTTTTCCTGTCTTCTTGGTCTCTTACTCATGAATAAAGGCACGAATCTCATACCCTGCAGCACAATTACAATGAATGTAAAGGTCTTGCAAAGCACTTTGCTCTGATTGCAAATGTTACTATCAGAAAGGAAACGTGGGTGATAAGATCATATGCACTTTTCATTTACATTTTAAAAAGGACAAATGTAAATAAACATAAATGTAAAAGAGAATATTTACATTTAATTTCTTAATGTAGATATACATGATGTATAAAATAGAACTCCACTATAATGACTTATTTTATAGTTTATGTATCAAACAAAATGCAACAACAGTCAAAGTATCATACTTCATGCTTAACTAAGTTACCATGCACAGTTTGGCTGTTACAAATATCCCATCGTATCACCCAAAATATAACAACTGAAAGAAATATATGAAATATTGGACTATGGTAGTATTTAAAGCAGATATTAATTCTGTTTCCTAATGTGGCTATTATTTTCAAAGCATTTACTATGGCTTGGTATTTGTTTATTGCCAATCATAACTGGAAAAGCCTATGATATAACAAATTAGTGGCCAAACCTATGTGAGTGGGTTCGTCCTGCTCAGATACTTAGACATTCAATTTGAATATGTCAACATATTGTTGCAAAATGTGTTACCTTTACATTCATAATTATATCTAGAAAGATTTGCTTGCCTTTTGCTCACATTTTAGAGTATACTAAACACTATCTGGTTGATAGAAATTTATTTATCTGGTTATCTTTAGAGCATCTCACACTATAAGCAAAAGTTAACTCAGTCCCACATCCAGGTACTCTTTGAAACAATTTTGACATTTCAGTAATTGGTAACATTCTGTAGCCCCTATTCTTTTTCAAACAAAAAAATCAATTTAGGTTTTCCAGCCCTATGCCTTCAAGGCTTTTGTGCAGAACAAGCCATTCACACCTTTCTCCTGCCTGGACTCTTAGAACAACGAGGAATATAGCCAGATGCACCTAGATAACTTGCGGGGGTGGGGTGGGGGGAGTCCTCTTTTCTGAAAGCTCTAATGGCCTGTTGGTTTAGCCCTTTTAAGCACAAAATGGGCTACGCTCCTGAATGGACACAATGACTTGACAAAAAAAGAAAAAAATCCCTCCGCAAACTAAGCAGCGTGTTGGCCTTTCCCTGGATGCGTGGGACTGTGGTGTGTGTAGGAAGAGCTAAGGGCGTTGCTCCCACGTCACCCCTGCTTGCACTTACTGTAGGAGGCCCCGCACATTTACCCCTGGGGTTGCTGCTCAGTAGCCGGCTTTCGCCTATGTGAGAACTTGCCTTAAACATGCTTTTTCTTTTTCAACTTACATTGGCCAATGTAGAAAAGCCGCTCTTCACTCGGGATGCATCCCAGCTGAAGGGAACCTTCCTCAGTACCACCCTGAAAAAGAGCCACATGGGTTTTGGATTTACCATCATTGGAGGCGATGAGCCTGATGAGTTTCTGCAGGTGAAAAGTGTGATCCCGGACGGGCCCGCCGCACAGGACGGGAAAATGGACACAGGTAGGGTCCTCAAGGGGCCAGAAAACAGCTTCGCAACATTTTTCCTTTCCTCTGTGGCAAATACGAGGGGCTTCTTTATGTGTTTTTTAAATAGCAGGTCAAAGGTCACTTTGCTTAAGGAAAACCACAAATTCGGTTTACCCTAAATTTAAGAGTATCAAGTTGATGTGCTTTGGAGACAGCTTTAAAGATGATTTTTGTCTCATTTTTCAGATTGCCCCTTCTATTTGCCAGATTCAGTGGACTCTTAACATGGATACTTTTCTAATCTATTTCTAGAGTTCATTTTTAGGGATGTGATTAACATTTCATATTTTTTCTAGCTTATATTCAGCCATTGATATTTTAAAATCTCTATTAATCTTGTAATATTCTCAAGCTGAATTGCCCAGGTTAGATATTCAAATATGCATGCTCATCTCATAGGAAAAAAAAATTTTAATGATATTCATCTTGATGTATCCCATATGATGTTTTAATATATAAAGTTTTTTCTCTAGTCCTTATGAATTAATTTTCATATGCAGTTACTTGAATGTCAAATTATAATCAAAATTTATTTAACATGGTAATTCAGAGGCAAATTGCTAAGGGCCAGAGAATATTAGTCACGAAAGATGCACAAAAGTGGAGAAAAGAAAATGAGATAAGTCTGATTTTATAGTCTGATTTGAATTTCTCCTACCTGGCCCTTGACCTTGGATTACTTGCATAATTTACAAATACTTGTTTCCTTATCTGAAAAAATGAGAAGAAATCAGATTTGGTCTTGTATACTTAAAATACTGACTCAAAAATTTTGCAGTTGTTGTTTTTGAAATGCCTTATAAAAAGTATTATAAAGTACAGTAACTATATCTCCAAAGAACTATGTCATCATTTAACATTTTTCACAACACTTATTTCATTTATCAACCTGCTAAAGTCAATGGATTCTAGTAGATGCACCCATTAGAAATTTCTTTTGAGGAAAAGTTATGCCATTTGTATGGTCTATATATTTATGAATTGTTATTTCATAGATTTTAGAATGGCTTGTGTGTGAAGAAACAATGTATGAGGTCTTCATCTGACATTTTTACTTTTTAACATCACCAATACTATATTATCATTTACTAAATGGTACCTGTAGAAATAATTTCTTTTCAAGGTCACTTAATAAATGTATTTGTCACTGCCACCAACTAGTGAGTAATAATACATTTAATAGATGTTACATTTTAAAAGCTGAGTTAACTCCCCACATTTTTCAAACACTGCTATTGTAAAAAGCATGTGTACATAACATTCTGCCAGAATAGAGAGTGTCCAACTCTACTATTCATGTGGTGATATTTTACTAAGCATCACACCTTTGTGTTACCAAAAAATCACCAAGAAACTTCAAACGACTCAACCAAAAATCACCCTATTGCCTACACCTGGAATTAGGGTAAATTATGGAATTAATACCATTTTAGCAGAGGGAAAAGGACTTCAAAGTTGTGAATTTCAGTGAAATACTTCACAAGTCCATTTCTTTTTCTGATAAAGAACTCAATTATTTTTTTCTCTGATCCAACCCCCTATTCCATGTTTCAAAACTAGGAAAGACTTCTTTCAGCATGAACTTAAAAGACAAAAGAAAAACATTTGCACAGCAAAGCCTTTACTCTTCTTATTTTCCTCTTTTGCCACTCCCCCATAATCTAGCCTTATTCAACAACAAAGTCAAAGTTTTTGCATAGAATGTAGCAGATTTTCTTCATTTAAGATACTCACTAAACAAGTCCTAATAGAGACAGGACCTAGAATTCTTTTCACTGTCCGCTATTTACTCCTCTATTTACTGACTCAACAAACACTGCAAAGCTCCTCCCTTTCATGGTCCCTGCGGTACACCAGCACTGCAAAGATGGGCGAGACATGGGCGGGCTCTTGAGGAATTTACATCTAGGAGAGCCTCAGAGACATAAACAAATAATTGTAGTACAGTATGAATAGAATGAGTCTGTGATAACCATGGTGTTGGCACAAAGTCAAGAGACTGGGGGAAACGAATAACAGAAATACTTAAAAAGAAAAGCATGTTCCTAATTTTGTAATTTTATTAGGCTTTTACAGGGATGATAATTTCTCTCGTTGGAAAAGAATTTAATAAAGGGTTGAAATCTATGGCTTATAAAATATTCAAAAATATTTGTTTTTTTAAATTGTGAGATAATTTACAATAAGATGGAAACACACTTGTGTTGCATTCCACAAGTTATAATGGAGGAAGGGCTCCTTAGTTCCGTTCAAGTAATACTGGTGAATATCCTTATGTGCCAGGTGACCTGCTAATTATTAGGGATGCAGAGATGGAGACAAATGTTTCTGTCCTCCAGAGGCTTATAGTATAGAAATAACAAGTGACATGTTAATGAATATTTATATCAATGCAACAATAAAAATACATAAAAGTCCAAAAATAATACAGAGAAAAGGGGGACCAGTTGTGTTGGGAAGTGCTTAGAGATGGCCACATAGAGAATATGAGGCCTGACGGAAGTTGGGATGATGAATAGGCATTTGCTCAATGGACAAATAAGGAAAGCTATAGGAAGAAAAAACAGCATATATGAAGGCACAGCAGTGGGGGAATACCTAGAAAAAGATGTATGTGTCATCACAGTGTATGTTAGTATTCTACCTTCTGAGGGCATTCATGGGAAGTATCAAATAAAACAATAATCATAACTGGTAAAGAACTATTTGGACTTGTAGCAAACATCAAGGAATAGTATATAGTCATATATCCTCAAATAAAAAGCATAGATACTATAAGTGAACAAATACCTATATATAAAACCTTTCTCATGTGAATTTTCAACCAGTTAGGCATAAAGGTTTACTCTATGACTGATGTGTCTTTTTTTTTTACTCGTGTATCCCTAGAACCTAACAATTTCAGCAGATAGCAGATGCTCAAGTAGTTGCTGGGTAGATGGGTGGACGGCTGAATGGCTGGATAGCTGGGTGGATGGGTAGATGGATGGGTGGGTGGATGGATGGATGGGTATATGGGCGGGTGGGTGGATGGATGGATGGGTATATGGGCAGGTGGATGGGTGGGTGGATGGGTGAGCAGGTGGATGGGTGGATGGGTGGATGGATGGATGGGTGAGTGGATGAATGGATGGGTGGGGGATGGATGGATGGGTGGGTGCGTGGGTGGATGGATGGTTGGATGGATGGATGGATGGATGGATGGATGGATGAATGGATGGATGAATGAATATGTTTACTCACCACCAAGGCAAAAACAAACCAGCTTTCCAGCTTCTGAATGATATCAGAAAGACAAATACTTGTCTGGGACAAAATTAATTTCCTTTTTTGTAATTATTTCATTTATAAATGGACCTCAAAAATTCACAGAAGTCATAGACACTACAGATATAAACAATGATTCATCAGTATTTAAAAGGTGAGCAGTCTCATTTGACACTGAAACAAAAACAAAAATATTTTAATCACTTCTCTACTGCTAAGTTATCTCTAATGTAAGCAAAGTGGTATCAATAGTTTGTGTGGGCCCAAAGAAAAGTCACTCCACTAAGAAGTTGACTTAGGGTCCAGTACAACAAGAATAAGGGTAGGGTGTGAATTTTCTTTCTCAGTCAGCACTGACCCCTGGGAGTGGGTAGAGAACAGGAGAAAATAAGGATCCTATGCCCCTGGCTGCTTTTTTACCACTTGCTAAAGCCAGTCCCCCATGATTCTATAAGTGCCAGGAGAAATTTCCTTAGAAGAAATTACCATGCCCAGAAACCATGTACTTCTGATTATTAACTATCATACACATCCCAGCAATCATTTGTAGGCACCAGAGATACTGATAACACTCTTTAAATGATTTTAAAAATACAGATAGTTGTAAAAAGCCTTACATAAAATCTGCAGAAGCTGAAAGATATTTATCTAACATCTTTCAGTTAAAAGCTTCCCTCATTACATGATTTTTCATGTTTTCCCCGGGCTAATTTTTGAAGCAGGCTTGTGTTTTTCTACAGATATAAGGGGTAGGAAAGCTGACCTATCCATGAAGTTTTCTTACAGACAGGGGTGGAGTTAATTGAGATCACTCACACCCTATTAGTTTTATTTGTCCTTCTCTAATATTTATCCATTTTATTAGTAAAATGACAAGAAACATGTCTGGGAGACTAACATCCTAACATTCTCTAGCTCCTGGCATTTCTCCATTTGAGCAGATTGATGTTACTCTCTTTAGTGGTTGCTATCTCTTGATTTGTGTTTCTAAAAGTAGAGGCACAAGATTAACTTTGCCAGAATCGCTAGGGAAGCTTTTTAAAGATGCAGAGTCCTATGCCCCTAGACCTACCGGTTTCCAAACTTCTGAAAGTGGTTTTCAGAAATATGCACTTACATACTTTTTAAAAAATTGTCAAAGTGATGCATGCACGTAGCAAAAAAAAATAGCATCAAAATATTATAATGCATAAAATATCTCCTGCCCTGCCCCTTCCACCCTCCAGGCCCATTTCTCAGAGGTACTCAGTCAGTTTGTATACTTTTAGATGTTCCTTCTGGTAACTTCCTCCACACCTCTAATTAATGTGTTTATGCTGTTGTCTTGATTTAATAAGACAAGGCCTATATGTACTTACTTTCAGAAGAAATTGAAAGGTTAGATCTCTTATCTCCCATCTGATTCTCCCATCTTCTCCCAGAAGAGTTTTGCAACTAATTTAGTAATATGTGTACTGTTTCTGCATTATTGTGACTTTGCAGATTGATGCACCAACCCTGGTGGTGTACTATTAATACATTGTTCCCTTAAGTCACTTTGTGGAGTTTCACTTTGTCTTTCTCTCATTCCTGCAATATCTTTCTTAAAATAACACTTTTTTTCTCCAAAAGAACTATCATAAAAGGTTCTCTAGAGGGTCTCCTTTTTTCTGGGCTTCCTCTGTCCCCCTGCTCCTGTCTGGGCTGGCTGGACTCCTGGGGACTTT